CTCTTTCCTCGATAATCGGGAAGAATAAACTTCAATGCTCCTACAGGATTCCCAAAACAGGGCTATACAGCAAGAATATCCTACCAGAATTTTGAATTTAGAGGTCTGTTTTTCCTACATAAGTTGAATAGTACCGTGAATGTTGAATGTAGCCTGTCACATTAAAAAAACCCCACTGTATGGAAAACACTGCGGAGCAGAAGTCAAGAGACGTCACTGGGGCTGTGGCATTTCTATCATCTTACTGGTCACCTTCCCTCTGTACATAAGTTCCAGAAGATTGTATCGTTCACATACTTGACACCCACCCTTCCCCACGACTTTTTTTTATTATCTCAGAAGAATCTTACTGGCAGTATAGATACTAATCCAGCAATCATTTAGCAACAGAGGACAAATCTCATTAATCAAAAGAATGTGGCAGAAAGAAGTAATTTAGACCCATAATATGATCCATGAAAAAAAATCTTCGATTCTGTAAAAATAGCATTCTTGGATTACATGTTTAGATTTCTCATTTATTCTAAGTCAACTATGCTTGCTTTGAAATTAAAGAGTGTTACACTGTCATCATTTGAGAGGGGGTATTGTCATTATCAGTCGCAAAACTTTAACACAGCATGCAGGAGTTCAGTTACTTTCTCTCCACTATCAAACATCATAATCCAATATCTGTGCTAGTTACCATCTGCCCAAACCCAATAACCTTCAAATTGTGTCCCATGTGGAATTTGTGCCATCTCAACACAGGTAACGTGTTTCCAAGTAAGTAACTACCCTCAGTAAATTTGCGGACGACACCAAGCTGGGAGGCTGTGTTGATCTGCTCGAGGGTAGGGAGGCCCTTCAGAGGGATTTGAACAGACTGGATCGTTGGGCTGAGGCCAATGGCATGAGCTTTAATAAGGCCAAGTGCAGAGTCCTTCACTTGGGGTATAAAAACCCCAAGCATCGCTATAGGCTCGGGGAGGAGTGGCTGGAGAGCTGCCTGGCGGAGAAGGACCTGGGGGTCTTGGTTGACTACCGGCTTGATATGAGCCAGCAGTGTGCCCAGGTGGCCAAAAAGGCCAATGGGATACTGGCATGTATCAAGAATAGTGTGACCAGCAGGAGCAGGGAAGTGATCCTGCCCCTGTACTCAGCACTGGTGAGGCCGCACCTGGAATATTGTGCCCAGTTTTGGGCCCCTCGCTTTAAGAGAGAGATTGAGCTCCTGGAGCGGGGCCAGAGAAGGGCGACTAAACTGGTCAAGGGGCTGGAAAATAAAACTTATGGGGAGCGGCTGAGGGAGTTGGGGCTGTTTAGCCTGGAGAAGAGGAGGCTGAGGGGAGACCTGATTACGGCCTATAAATACTTGAGAAAAGATGGTGGGGAGGTGGGGGAAGGGCTCTTTACATTAGTGATGGGTGATAGAACAAGAGGAAATGGGCATAAGCTTAGTCAGGGGAGATTCAGGTTGGATGTTAGGAAGTATTTCTTCTCTGAAAGGGTTGTCAGCCACTGGAATAGGCTGCCCAGGGAGGTGGTTGAGTCCCCATCCCTGGATGTGTTTAAGAATAGGGTGGATGATCTACTTGAGGATATGGTTTAATGGGGATTAGGGATGGTTGGACTCGATGATCTCTAAGGTCTTTTCCAACCTAGAAATCTATGAAATCTATGAAACTAACTTGACTTTAGCATTCCTCTGCTGACAGCACGTAAGGAAGAGCAGAATCTGTCTCACTTGAGGTTTTTCGGGTTTTCAAAATTACATTGCCATTAGCAGAATGGCATTGCATTTTCCAACTGGAAGTCATGTCAAGCACGTATCTTTTTCATGCCACAGCTGTTCGTCAGCACGGGAACACACAGTCAAGTTTGAACAACATCAAGTAAACTTCTCTCTTAATCTAAACAGGAGAAGGAACAGTGTCCGCAATTCTAGGTTCACTTCCTCCATGGATTCACTGAATCAAGTTTCTTGATTTATGAGGAATTAAGAGACCTAGCTTTTTCTTTTTTTTCTTTTTCCTCTTTATTTCAACTCTTTTGAGATTAAGGGCTTGTTGAAGTTACCAGCTGAAACATGTGACCTCCTTGTCTTGGTCTGCCATAAATTGTGCACCCACTTTCAAATGCACATAAATATCCCTCACAATATCCTGTTGTTAAAATTGTTATTATTAATATTGTTACTCATCCCATGATTTGTCTAATAATTCTGTTGGTCTTCCCTTCCTTTAGGGACAGGCCACCCGTTCACACAGGCTGCACGTCTCGAGGTTCAAAGCAGCAATCGCTTTTCATCAGATCAAAACCAATTAAAGATTCCCCTCTCCCTACAGAAGATACACTCAGTTATTAACAGACGTTTTTAAAAGGCTTATTAATACCTGCGAGAGAGATCAAAGATTTTGAAGTGAGCCAAATCGGTTCCCACAGCCAGGAAATTTCCGCAGACATCCAAGAGGCACGGATTCCCCTCGGCTTCGGAGAACACCAGCAGCTGTTTAACTGTGCCCTGAGAAGAAAGGTGTCACACCAGGCTTGCCTGCTCAGAGCCCAGCTGGAAGGGACTCACTTTGCCACTAAGTTAAGTAACTGCTGAACTTCTACGTTAGACAAATCACTACCCGCAAAATGAGAGAAACTACACAATCACACACACGGTCTCTACAAATGCAATCTTGTGTTTCAGGTTGAAAACGAGATGTATAACCTCCAAAAAAAGTCTAAATTTACAAGTATCCTTCTGCAACAACTTCCTCTCCAGTAATACAACTTTTTCCGAGCTGTACTAAGAGGCATACAGAAATACGGGTCCCTGAAGGTCTTTTAATATACGGCTGCAAAAATAAATACATGAATTAAATCAGTCCTTATTGTGATAAATCCCACCCATTCTTGAATACAGTACTTATTTCTTCAATATCTTTCGCTTTTTGGTTCTCCCAGACTAGCAGAGGCTGCAAAGGTTAAGCAGAAGATTTTGCAGTAACACGCAGAATGTGCAGGGGGCATTTTTCATTATCTTATAAGAATAATCAGTATGTTCATCTTCCTGACAGTAATATACATACACGTATTCTAACCTGCATACAATTTTGATCCTCTTAAAGTCCAGCCCTTAGAGAATTCTGTTTTCTTTTATAAATACTTATTAGTTACAACGCAGTAGCATTTAAAGCGACAGGCTTTTTAAAGAACACAAAATCTCAAAGATCCTTCTGCCGAAATACTCAAAATATTTTTTCTGTGACAAAGGTAGAGTTAATAGATTTATAGAACATCCACTTAACATTCCAGCTGTAACAACAATCTTTGAAAGCAATAAGGCAAATATATTCGTCGCTTCATGGTTTCAGCAGCCCTCACCTGCCAAGTGCGGACCTGGACCCGATAGGGCTCAACTGTGTACAGATTTTCTCCATGCACGGACAGAACTGGAGAGTCACAAAGAAAAGAGCCTGAAACAATCACAATAAAGCCGTTGTTACAATAAACAGATTTTTTGAAAGGGAAAAAAACAGGAATTTTTACTTAAAGCATTCAATTTCCACTGTCTTGCACTAAATCCATTTTTCAATCCGTCAGTCTCTACTGATTCCCAAAGTCCTTGGTGTTGCAGCCTTCCTCCATTCTGCCATTCCAACCAAAAGCTGAGACTCCTACTGAAAACACGTTTTGTACACTCTGCCCATGAAAACAAGTGGGAGAGGAAGAGGAAAGAGTTAATATGGGGAGTGAAAGAAAGAAAAAGACAAGTGCAGTGTGTGGTTCTGTTCAGAGAATTCATTTCTTCCTCCATTGAACCACAGCTGACGAGTGATAAAGGAACTCTGCCAGAGAAAAGGAGTGGCTCTGAAATAATTCCATGAGTGTTGTACACTGTTGGGACCTTGGTGGTAATAACACACTGATTCGGCATGGGAAAGTTATAAAATAAACGAGTAAATATAGACAAGATAAGCCACTTCTTGGAAAAAACTTGATGGTTCTTAAAAACTCCAAAGATTTTGGATGGGATTGATGGAATTCTGCATGACCTGTTTCTCAAGGCACAAATATTTAGGGAGAATTAATCATAGAAAAAACTAATTTACTTGACTCAGCTGTATATACAGCAATTTACAGAACAGATTTTCCTGACAGTTAGGACTAAAACTCACTCCTTCCCAGTTCCTACGTAAGTGCTACGTAACCTTAATTACACTTTCTCCCAAGCAAAACAGAAAAGCCTTCGACAGGCATCATCATGACCTATCTGTAGAAGGCAACAAGAGCTGTAGCTATAAAGGTAGGAAAAAAATTCTCTTCTTAATCAACTGTTGGAATAATTTACTTCAAAAGAAGAAGCCTCATCCTTATATCATGTTTTACACAAGGCCCTAGATGGTACGCTAGCTCTGAGGACACCCTTCAAGGCCAGGTGTGACAGCCAGGTGTACATCTCATCTGTGGGAAACAGCAACAAGATGCTTGGTCTTGTCAAGGCAAGTCACACACTGGGATGCCTGCGGAACTCTAAGAAGGAAGCACGTTTAGTCTGCAGATACTACCAGGATTGGGTTGTAGCTGAACAGAGGTTAGAGGATATATATTTTAATTTTATGCCTACAGATGCACATCACCTTCAGTTTTACTTCTGTTGCTGTGCTCCTACTCATATCCAGGAGCATCAACATGTTCTGAGGTTAACCTACACATCATATCCCAGCACATTTAGTGAATAAAGCACAGATGTAGGAGTTGGCATTTCAGTTCTGGTTTTGTGGATGATTTTTATACCCTCATCTTTCTGTTCTGCAAAATGGGAATACAAAGTCTAATTAGTGTTAATATTTTTCACTTTGCAGTTATGATTACAGTCCGTCAGATATCATGAATGAAGAGAACATGCAACTTTCGACGCAGAGAACCACTGCAACTCTGATCAGTGTTCTAAGTCCTACCTGCACTTCTGAAGGTATCTCCTGCGCACTCAAAGACGGTAACTTGCTTCCCATTCCAGAATACTACAGCATCCTAAAGTAATCAAAAAAAGCAAAAGAATGCATATATTCAGTTTCTTTTGGAATCATATAGGAATTCAGGCAATAACACAGCAAGACCTTCCAGTCAATAGCCACCATTCACTAGTTCCTCTCTATATCGAGTCGGAAAGCTTGTGATAAGCTCAAAATTCTCTGGTCAGCACCCAGGGAATTACTGAGTCGCTGTGCTATCTGAAAATCAGCTCCACTACAGCATCACAGCAATACTTCCATTACACAATAAATTGAACATCAAAGAAGGGTTATATTAAAGACTTAGAAAGTTTGGTCTCCAGACACGTAACTAGGCAAACGATCAAGCAAATAAATGAAAAATCCCAACTAACCTTAGTAGTGAAGACTCCGTTGACATTCATATCAACACGAAGACTGTGTGTAGCTCCTGTGCTGAAGGAGGTCACGTTAAACAGGTTGGGAGACACCTGCACGACGGCCACTTGCTGATGGAAATGAGATGACGTGGCCTGCTCGCTGAGGATCACCACAGAGCTCATGGCGTTCACCGCCAGCAGGTTTTTTCTGGACCCCCACTGCACACAATGGGAAGAGCAAAACAAACAAACAAAAAAAAGGCACAACACACAATTCCATCGGAGATCTTGAACAGTTACAGCAACGTCCCAAGACAGATGACAAGGAGTAGAATAGAATAAACATTTTTATATGTATACAAAGTCCTGCTATCTAAATATAGCTATAGTCAGACTAGAAATTATTAGAGATCAAAACTATTATTCTTGTTACCGAGCTGCTCAGACTGCCCTAGCCTAAGTAGAAGAGCTGGTTTTCAAATTAAAATCACTTTTATTTTCAGGATGTTACTGCACCACCTTACATTTACTACCGCAAAAGAGCATCACATATTTAAATGGCTTAATAATGTTGCGATACGTAAAGGCAAGTTGCGTGCACAGTTTCATCTTGATGACCATATTCTGTTCTGCAGTTTTGAGAGCCCTTTCGGTCCATGTCGTTCCAACTCCCCAGCAAAGAGTGCTAAATCACATGCATAAATACGGGGTCCAGAAGCACACTTCCCCCTTTCTCCTAGAAGAATTTCCAGGTTTCAGTTAACTCTTTTTCAACGGGTTCTATGAAGAATCTTTCCCTCCTTTTAAGATTGAAAAATAGCACCTACATTCAGTTTCTAAAACTGAAAATACCTTACAAAATTCAGTGGGAGAAAGGGAAGATCTGTTCCCAAGATGGCTTGCAGAGACTCAGTTTTTAACACGCAGCTGATGAATTCTGTTATTAAAGTAATGCTCCCATTTTCATTCTTTCTTTCTACCCTCACATTTAAACAAGCACACCTGACACTGCTTCTGTTTATTCCTACCAAAGGATGGTTCCTTCCAGAAAGCACTGTGGCAACCAGCTGACCACACGCGAACCCTTCGCATGTACCACGTTAGCCAGAAGCGATCCAAACTCCAGTTTGGAAGCTGGAACTATGCGTGGGAGTGCAGGGGTGCTACTCCTGAGCTACTACACACTTGCTGTGCAGGTGCTCCTTGGTGAGCCCAGTCCATAGTTCCCTCAGGGCTGGGCCAGGGAACAAGCACAGGGGTTTGGGGTTGGCTTTTTGTTGGGGGCTTTGGATTTTTTTGATCTACCAGGGACCATTCATACAGACATACTTTCATGGACGAGATAAATTATAAAGTTTCTTGGAGCTGTAGAAAATCCCTTTGAATTCCAAGAGCTTCTCTATCCTTGCACAACTGGTAAGCTCCATAAACTCCAGGGAGATGCCAAGTCTCTAAGGTCTCTGCTTCCCTCAAAATTATTTGAAGTTTCATATTCATTTCCTGACACATTGATATTTCTGCAGCTATACCTTTCCAACACTGATTTAAATAGCTGTGTTTGGAAATAATTTCATTTTATTCAAGAGCACGATCTAAGAAATAAAGCTATTTTGCACGGTTTGTTCAGGATTTTCTTTTTAATGGCACTTAGTTACAATTAACTAGACACTACACTGCACAACAGATGAGCTAGAGCACGTTTCCCAACCACCTCTCTTTTGAAGCCACCATATCAGGTTCAAAAGATGAGGTTGGCAAGGAGTCAAATGAAGTTATTGCTGCCCTTTGACTTCACCATGGTGTAAGGCTTTCTATTCCAAGGTTTTCATGCTAATATAGGAAAAGGCTTTTATAGGAATTTCCAAAAGATTTTTTGAAAATCTTTTGCAAAATATTTTTCGGACTGCAAGGATTATAATGAAAAATTATCTAGCGTTTCCATAACTAAAGACAGCTTTATAACACGAGATAAAAACGCGGTGATTGTTGACAATTGTTTGGCAATGCTTTTGTTTATGCTAACAAACATTGGGAACAAGGTGCTATTTCTGGACAGCACTCCATATCCTGTTATCTGGAAAATGCTTGAATAGTCAAGCTGACATAAACACCTATATCTCTTCCCTTCCCTCGGCTCACTAGCAGATGTATAACGTGCTACCGGCACACACTACTTCCTATATCCTGGGCCTTTTGTTACTGAAGCATCTTAACAAAAGAGCTGAGCTCTCCCCTGGAGCAGTACTCAGGGTTTAATTTTGTAAGCAGGACTCTGACACAGACCCTCACTATACGCCAACCCAGAGGAAGCAAATGCTGTTGCTCTCTAAATACTTTCCATTCTTATATGACAACAGAATAAAAGAAAACATAAAATTACTTTCTCTTGCAAGGCACCAGAAATATTTCAGATTTACGTTTCTTCTGAAAAATAATAAGTATTGTCCTCACATATTAAGCACAGCAGGAGGCAATGGCTTTAAACTGGAAGAGGGGAGATTTCGATGGGATCTAAGGAAGAAATTCTTCCCTCTGAGGGTGGTGAGGCACTGGCACAGGTTGCCCAGAGAAGCTGTGGCTGCCCCATCCCTGGAAGTGTTCAAGGCCAGGTTGGATGAGGCTTTGGGCAACCTGGTGTAGTGGAGGGTGTCCCTGCCCACGGCAGGGGGGTTGGAACTGGATGATCTTTGAGGTCCCTTCCAACCCAAACTGTTCTGTGGTTCTATGATTCTATAACAGAAACTCTAAAAACCTGGAAAAAACTTAATAATAGGGTACAACAAGCAAGCAAACCAAAAAATGCTGGAGAATCTAAAAGCACAAGCTTTGCCTTTTAGCAGGACGGTGATGGTCAAACAAGCTGACTGCTAATGTGAAACATCTTTAATTTAAACTTACAATTGTAACTCATTTCTCTTTTGCATATATCAAAATATTAATGAGTATAGAATGACAGTGTTTAAGCTTACTGTGACAACTGAAAATATTTCAAATAAATAAAAACGCTGCACCCGGACACTTAACAGACAATTAAAAATTTTTAATTAAAAAATTAAAAATTAAAAAATTAAAAATTACTTTTAAATTAAAAATAAATATTACAATACCATGTATGGTTATAATCTTCAGCATTGAAAATATTGTAAATAGCAGCAGAAATGTTTTAAAGCATTGGTTTTAAAAATTTGTAAAAAAACTTATCATCCACATCTAGTCTGACACTGTCACACACAAAATCATCTAGCAAACAAGATACATTTTCTGACAAAAAAGCAGTTGAAACATCATTTTGTGTATAAAAATACAGCATTCCCTTCTAGATGGCACATCTCCTCACCACAGAACATTTGGTTGTAAATACATCTTTTTATTTTTGCAACAACCAGTAAGAGCAAACTTTACGATGAGAAAGTGACTAAAAAGAAGAAAATTATCTACAAATGAAATCATGCATTTAGTCAGATTTTATTGCTCGTTATTTTAATAAATTTATGTAAATTTGACATTTCTGACAATGTGCCTTTTCCAGAAAACAATTCCAGGGTGCTGAAACCAAAGGGTTTGCCAATGAGACATATAATGAAGGGATGTTTGGATTTAAGGACTGTGGATTCTCCCAGACGGAGATGTATTTCATAGATTTCATAGATTTTCTAGGTTGGAAAAGACCTTGTAGATCATCGAGTCCAACCATCCCTAATCCCCATTAAACCATAGCCTCAAGTAGATCATCCACCCTATTCTTAAACACATCCAGGGATGGGGACTCAACCACCTCCCTGGGCAGCCTATTCCAGTGGCTGACAACCCTTTCAGAGAAGAATAGATTTCAGAGAAGAATAGATTTGTGCTCCGGCGTGTTATCTTGCTGAGCATTTCAGCCCTGCCTGTAACAGAACAGCTACAAACAGCTCATATTTCTGCCCATTTCAATTTTAAAAGTTACTTGACCCTGATGTTTTTTCCTCTTTCTTCTGAAGGAGGACCAGCCTCCACTGGTGCACACATCTGTATGACAGCAGCCATATTCATCTGTTGCACAGATGATCTACTCATTTAATGCTTGTGAAGCTCTACTAACATGCAAGATGACTCCTTCCTGTCTTACCTTTATCTGAGTGACATTTCCTTCGAGTTCCGTGGGTGCCTGGAGCTTCCACTTCTCCTTGCCCTCCAAAGCCCGTGTGCTCTGACAGGATCCTGCTGCTTTCCTCCACATGGCTACTCTCCCTTTGTTCGTACCAGCTGCCAAGAGACCTGCCATTCACAAACCTTTTAGGCATTTCATATGTTGCACTTCAGAAAAACAAACCCACTGTATACAAAGCAGGAGGCAGCCTAGCTCTGGTTCTAAGGTACTTCTAGAGAAGCCTTCTTCTAGCAGCGTCCATTTCTTTGCCTTCCTGCAAACCAGCACCCTAGTCCCGAACTGGAGAAACTTTCTGGAGAAACCTTCTAAAACAATGGGAGAAGTTTCACATGGCAAGCTCATTTTCTAAGATACCACATGAAGTTATCTTTTTAAATATATCAGACAATCGTTTCATTTTAACCATTCATTTTTGCATAGCTGGTTTTGCAGTCACCGTAGGCAAGTCATCACTGAAAACCATTTCAGCAGACACTAGCTATGCTTACGCTGGCAAACAAGGTGATGCATAGGAGTAGTTCTGTAGAAAACATCTGTTTTAAGGACCTGACGTCCACACTATACATGTTTAGTGAGTTCTACTCTGCATTAGCTCTACTATGGGCTTGTAGACTGAATGCCCACAACATGCTGGAGCACACTAGGTACACTCCAGGAGTACTTGTAGCAGTTCAGTGCCAAAGGGACTGCAGCTTGTGTGCTGGGGGACAACTCCACACCGAGACAAAGCGTGGTATCAAATGATCTCACTGTTCCTTCAAAAGTACACTCCTGAACTAAAATGCTTCCCCATCACACGCTGTTACTGAAACCCTCAGTAACAAGACAAACATACTGAAATGCCTGCGGGGCACTGAAGGGTGAGGTTTGACAGGTTTAGGACCCAGAGATCACAGATGCCGTGTTATTCCTCACCTTTAGCACTGCAGTAAGAAACACAGTTAATGCACTCTCCTCCCTCAAAGCCAAATTGCACATCTGGGGAGAGCACATAGTTCTCATCTCGGTCCAAATCCCAGAACCTAAGGTACACAAAACAAGTGTTAACAATGCTTTTCCTTCCAGGTGTCTTGCTAAACACAGTCAATAGGATGCTGTACATGGCATTAATTTGCTATTTCCATAATGCCCAGTTCATTCGATTTTTAATTGTCAGCAGCTGCCTCTGGAATGTGAATTCCTTAACAATCTCCTTCCTTTTCCTTTGACTTTTTAATCTGCAGCAGGTATTGTGATATTCTCCTATAAAGAAAGGAGTCAGAAGCAAACCTAGCTTTAAGAAAAAGAGAAAAGAAGTGAGGTCTAGTTGCAATTTTCCTCTTCTCTACTTAGGCTTCCTCCTCTATATTAAGAATATTCCTTGGTTAACCAGTAGTCCTTTGGATTCCAGATTTATTTTCTAGAACTAAACATTGTCAACAAAAATATTCCTCTTTGATACTTGCACAAAATTAACAGATGATTTTGTCAGATCGTAGCAGATAGAGGCTCAAGAAAGTGATCTCGTGCTGTTTATAGAACGCTCCCATCCTCCCAAAAAAGTTACAGGAAACAGGTAGAGCAAGTCATAGTAAAGACAGGAAAAAAGAGATTTAATACTATTCTTAAAAAGATGCAAAAAGTAAAAATTACTGAACTCAGTAACACAGCAGCATGGCAAAGCAACACACTTAGTTTAAAGAATTATAGATAGAAGTAACCTGACAAGAAAGCTCTTTTTTTCCTGTTGCTGATGCTATGACTATCCTAAGAATCAGACAATCACAGTGGAAAGAACAGCAAAGTGCCTATCTTTTTCATGCAAAAACCAAAATGGATACATTTTCAGAAGAAAGCAACAGCAGCTCTCAAAAAAGGAACAGATTTGGGTACTACTGCCTGACAAAATAAAATAACTAGAGAGAAAGATACATAGAACTAGCTTTTGTCCTCAAGGAAACAGATTTTTCATTTCATTTCTCTATTTATTTAGAGAAACAAAATTAGAAATATTGGGAGTTTTTTCATTCTTGTTAAAAAAAAAAATCAGTAAAACATTCAGTCCACTGCAGACCATAAACCTTCAGCTAGCACTTCGATGGGCAGCCAGAGCAGCTTTCAAGCAGGATTCTTACCTGATGACCGTCTCTCCAAGTGCTGTAACCACGAGGCTATGATCTATGAAAATGATGTCAGCAGAATGACCTGTCTTCCCACTCAACTTCACCTGTTAGCCGTAAGTAAATAAATACACTTACAAAAGGCAGGAAGAATACACTGACAGTAAGCATCTGAATTGCCTCGTTTGGCTGCCAAGGTAGAAGATAAGAATGACCAGACCTGTCTGTCACTTCAGATAGACCAACAGTTTCTCTCAGACACTGATCACCACTACATGCATCAAGAATATGATGTATAAATTTAATAAAAGAAGCCTCGTCATGCAGTGAGTAGGTAAGGAGCAGCCTTCTCTCTCGTGGTAGATCTTCTCTTACAACTTCGTAAAGGTTGCTTTAAAATGTGCAATACCAAATCTTACTTCAAGTTAAAAATAAATAACAATTAATAAGTTGTGTAATACACAACTGCTCAGTCTTTTTTGATCTTAGATAAAAAGAAAAAAATCTTAGAAACGCGAAGGTTTGGGTTCCATCCTCCCAAGCAGTATTCTCCAACAGCGCAGTATTTTATTTGAGTCAAGGTGATTACACATGTCCTGGATGAGGTCAGTTTGGTTTTTGTCCATGTGCAAAATGATTTTTGGGCCACTATCTTCTTCTTTGTGATTCTGTGACTTGTGGGTTGCTATTTGTTAAAAGCTTCCCAGCCTTTGCAGCTGTGAGGAAGACTTTCACAACATGAGAACTAAACCATCTTTCAGATTCGCAAAGATAATATCAGCAGGAGGAGGTACTGCTCCTACTAACCTGAAAGACACACAGCTCTGAGTGACTGATGACGATAAACCCGAGGACACAGGTTATCAACTGCTTATCCACACCATATTTTAACAAGTATTTGATTATACTGGAATTTCCAATTCTTCTCTAATTCACTAAGACAAGGTAAATGAAGTGTAAAAGGATAAACATAGGGTCAAAATGAAAGAGACTAAGAAAAAACAAGATGAAAACCATCTTTTCAAGTTCAATAATACATTACTCTATTCCACTTCTAAATGAGCATATATTTGCTTATCGAGGCATTATTTGAGAAACAAAAATGAAAGGTGACTCATGTTTAAGCAAAAAATGTGATAATCAAAAAACCCTAACAAACTCTTATAAAGATTAAACATTGCAACTTGATCCTCTAGTGTCACTCCTACCTTCAGGAGCTCTTCTGCCTCTCCCTCCAGAGTTACTGCATGCAAGGACAACTGCAGGTTCTCTGTTACTACAACTAAAACGCCTCTTTCCTCCAGGAACAGAAGCTTTTGGATGAGACTGTCTGTGGACAGCAGATGCCTTGTCTTCCCTTTCTCATTCACATAATGCACAGAACCTGTAATACACATGAACAAGGTATAGCTGTTAGTTAACAGGTTTTAGCTACAAAAATCAAAGTTGCTGCTTTCTACCTTCATAAAATATTCCTCAAGTGCTGAAAAGGTAAAACTAATCACAATTCCTTTGTCTTCTAGTTTGTCTCAGGATATACTATAATAGTTGACCAGAGCAATAAAACAAAACTTATTCACTTTTTCCCCATCTAGGAAATCCAGAGGAGAACTATTTAAATGTTATCACAAATACTTTTATACTAAAATTAAACTTTCTGCATATGTGTGCATGAATGATGGCTTCTGAAATCTTCAGTATTAATAATAATTTGTGCAAGAAGAACAGCAGCTAACAATGGCACAATTTACAGCAGAGTCTAGATTACAGAAAACTGGGGATATGAAGTCGTTCGTTGCTTCGAAGTGCTCCACCACACACACTAAATACAGCTTTTCTAAATGAAAATACATAATATTATATAAATGTGGCATTTCAAACCAGCACAAACCAAAAAACCCTATGAAATGAAGTAATATTTTCCCAAAATAGTTGAAATAGAAAACAAATGTATAAGAACGAACATTAAGGATCCACGCTAAAATTTGCACCCAAGAGGCAATATGATGTATCTAGGCAAAGAGAATGCTCTAATTTCCAAAACTCTTGCAAATATGTCATCCTCTATATTCCAATTGTATTAAAAAAAAAATTAAAAAACCAAACTCCTCTCCCAACCTCCTCCCACACCGCTGCATTTTGTCTCTGAAATAAAACACCGAGCAGATAACTTTATTTACCTTGCTAAATCACAGAACGGTTTGGGTCAGAAGAGACCTTTAGAGATCATCTAGTTCCAACTCCCCTGCCATGGGCTGGGACATCTTCCACTACACCAGGTTGCTCAGAGCCCTGTCCACCCCAGCCTTGAACACTTCCAGGGATGGGGCAGCCACAGGTGTCTCACCACTCTCTCAATAAAGACTCTTCTTCCTTACATCTGTTCTAGATCTCCCCTTTGTCAGTTTATAACCATTACCCTTGTCTTAGAATCATAGAATGGTTTGGGTTGGAAGGGACCTCAAAGATCATCCAGTTCCAACCCCCCTGCCATGGGCAGGAACACCTTCCACTACACCAGGTTGCCCAAAGCCTCATCCAACCTGGCCTTGAACACTGCCAGGGATGGGGCAGCCACAGCTTCTCTGGGAAACCTGCTCCAGTGCCTCACCACCCTCAGAGGGAAAAATTTCTTCCTTATATCTCATTGAAATCTCCCCTCTTCCAGTTTAAATCCATTGCCCCGTGTCCTGTCACTACACACCCATGTCCAAAGCCCCTCTCCAGCTTTCCTGTAGCCCCTTTAGGTACTGGAAAGCTGGAAGGTCTCCCTGGAGCCTTCTCTTCTCCAGGCTGAACAGCCCCAACTCTCTCAGCCTGTCTCCATAGCAGAGGTGCTCCAGCTCTCGGATCATCTTCATGGTCTCCTCTGGACCCGCTCCAACAGCTCCATGTCCTTCTGATGTTGAGGACCCCAGAGCTGAATGCAGCACTGCAGGGGGGTCTCAGGAGAGCAGAGCAGAGGGGCAGAATCCCCTCCCTCGCCCTGCTGGGCATGTTTCTTTCGATGCAGCCCAGGATACGGTTGGCTTTCTGGCCTGTGAGTGCACATTGCCAGCTCACATCCAGTTTTTTATCCACCAGTATGCTCAAGTCCTTCTCCACAGGGCTGCTCTCAATCCATTCATCGCCCAGTCTGTGCTGATCCTGGGGATTGTTGGGATAATTCTCCAACGTAGCATTCTCTATCACAGATATCTGCTTATTTTAGCAATACACTAGCAGATTACTGACTGAATCTGAGTTTTATGGGATCTTTTACAAGAAACAGAGAGCCCCTTGATCTTATGTGCCATCTGAAATAGTTTCACAAGTTAAATTAACCTTCTGTACTTCGACATTACCATACAAAGCCTCAGGTATTGCACAGATAACATCACCCACTATTTTGAAGCTACTCAGGCGGTCAGGCAGAGAGTTACAGCGTTCTGAGGATCTGAGTTAATCTCTGAGAAAATTTTCATGCCGTATCACCCAAGAGCCTGATCTCAAAAGTTAAGAAAACTGAGCTAATCAAATAGAGCAAACAACTCTGAGATTCAGAAGACGAACAGCAGCAGAAAGTGTGCGCTGTTTGGGAAATACAAAGGGCACCAGGAGGGGATTATTACTCATGACCTGAAATATCTGCGGTGAAGGCAAACAAGGGCGCAGTCAGTAAAAAATATCAGGATGCCTTCCACTCTTCAGATCATGTCCCACCACCTGTGCCAGGCATCTCAAATGTTCAGCAACGAAGATGATTCTTTGTGGTCACGGAAAGAGTTGCCAAACAACCTCCGAAAATTGGCATCTGTTCAGGTATCCTCTCTTCAGAGAAGCATCTCATGTAACGTGTTACCTGGACTGCCTCTAAAGTTTTTCTGCAAAGATCAGTGTTTTGGAAGCATCACAAAATATCTAGACTAATAAATACTGGAAACTTGGGAGTTTTTTGTTTTGTTTTGGGCTTTTTTGAGAAGCTGAATTGTTTATTTAGTTTTGCTTTAAAAGATGCTCTATTGTCTTTAGTCAAATCCCTTTTGAGATATTGAAAACCATGCAATAAGAATGTGGGGGGTTTAAAATTCATTTTTATTAAACAAGTTTGGGCTGAGAATTCATACTTTAGGGGAAATTTGCAGGCCACTTTTAAACCCTAGGAAAAAATTAACTAACTCTGAATTTACGACAGATCACTAACTAGATTAAGAACAGGGTCCAAAATACATATGCCCAAACCAAGGTAGGCAATGAGACTGCTGGAAAGAAACTGACTTTTTTGACTGAAATTTGAGAAGTTGCTACGGGAGGCCCGAGAAACAAGCAGGATGCAGAGCCTGGCCTGGATGGAGCTGCGCACCACCACAACAGTGGCTTCGGAAGTGAGGCTGCAACAGGCACAGCTACTCAAAGATTCCCTCCCTGTATGTTTCAGAAGTGCCCTGTACCCCTTTTTCATGGAAATTGTTCACATCTAGTGAAGAGGCTCGGAACCCACCATCACAGGAAGGTACAGCCCACGGTTTTTTAAAAGAAACATGGAGCTGGACAGTGCTGCTCCTGCAATCATACGGAAGCTATGCGGGTGCAAATGATGGGTCTCATTCTTGATCATGTAAACGCTGAATCAAGCTGTAATCGAGCTGCAGGACTAGCACAACTTCAATGTTTTTTGGAGGAGCTAACACCTGAATCGAGAGGATTACACGCTCAAATCACCTACCAGAAACATACTCGTCATGATACTTGTCACACATATTCTGGCTCCTGTCCAAAGAGTTAACAGGTTAGAGAGGCAGGAGGCTTCATGAGAACAGCCTGGGTGGGAAGAAAATGAGCTGGGAGCAAACTAGTACCCAGAACAGTAAAAGGGAAAGGAAAAGACAAACAGCAGGGAAGAAAACTAGCAAAACAGATATTCTGTCTTTTTTTGCTTCCTTAGACTGAAGCATCGCTTCAAAGCATGAGAAAAAAGTGAAAAAGTAAATGAATAATTTACTATAAAAGATATGTTCTAACAGCATTTGCCTATTTTTAGGGAAAAAAACCCACAACACATGCATTATTTTGAAGTTTTGCACAAAATGCTGACAACTTCTCGGTAGTTAGATGACTTTCCTTACACTCACTTCTTTGGGAATCTGACTAACTCAATACCTTTAGTGGCCTTTTGGAGAGGGCTCACCCTGAAGATGCTGAGATTTTAATAATTTTATTCATTTCTTCTTACCAAACATTCTTCAACCCCTATGAATACTCTACCCAGTTAGATATATGAACTGGGAACATATAGATAGTTGGATATATGAACGTGACAAACATATGGATACACTCCAGATGTCAGATACATGAAAACAGGACTATTGTGCACTGAGGTATTTTGAAGCATTAAGGAGACAAAATTCCAGCACACTGGAAAAGTGGTTTTGCTCTTACCATCTGTCAAAGTGACAAAGAAGGACAGCCCTTCCTGGAGTCCCATTTTCAGAGGTGCTCCTGTCCCAGGTTTTCTCCAGTTAAACATATCCAAGGCCTTCTCATCACCACCCACAGCTGCTTTTGCCAGCTGCACAAAGTCCCTGCAAACAGAGACACTTCATTTCCAATTCCTTGCACAGCAGAGTACTTTCCACCTCAAAGAATGGACGAGTAGCTAATAAAACACATTGTAAAGAGAGAATAAAGATGTTTCATATGCTGATTGGAAAAAGGATAGACTCAAAAAGATACAAAGAAAATTTTAATACTAGTTTTCATTTGCATCGTTTCACCTTTTTTCATAAGCATTATTATTTTTACAGAGATGTAAAGCAGAAGTGGCCCAGACAAGGGAATTTTTTTTTTACTACAGCTGTTTCCTATTTCTTGTTTGAAGAGGAAAGAAATAATAATGCTTAAGAACTGACCTCTAATTTAATTGTTCTTGCCAATAATTTAATGGATAATTATGTTTTCAGTGTGCTTTCTGCTTTTCACAATCAGCAACACTGCTAATTAGAAGAACTAAAGGAAGAATAGTCAACAGCAACAGAGAGAAAGGTCTGGGCAAAAGGAAGATGATGTGTTGCTGCATACAAGACACAAAGAGCAGAGTGGGAAAGAACCTGGGAATAAAGGACAGTTAGGAGAAGAACTTTTTAACATGTATTTAAAAACAGGTTTGTCTGTGAATAGGATTTTCTTCTTGTGCAACCGGAGAAAGACGCGGTGTACCAGTGCCCGGGTGGGCACAGCACTTACTCGGCCGGAGGGGGTGGTCGAAAGACGCAGTGAGACAGCCCCTTTCCATACTCCTGTTGGAGCAGGGCAGGATCCTGCACTCTGCCTCGCTGGTCCGTTCTCCACAGAACCAAGACACCGTGCTAGAAAAAGACAACAGTTCATTACATTTTGCACACAGGTGAGAATCCAGACTCCAGCTACTCAGTGCATATAAAAATAAACGTTTTATCGACAGAGCAACACCTTTCCTTTCATCTAGCTGACAACGTACAATTACTCCCACTTAAAATCAAGCCACAAGGAATAAAAATTATCTTTAACATCATATTATTTGTTTATTTAAAAACAATTTATCTAAAAAAGCTTCTTGGTCCTATCCAGTCTAAGTAAAATGACAATCATAGAATCATAGAATGGTTTGGGTTGGAAAGGACCTCCAAGATCATCCTGTTCCAACCCCCCTGCCATGGGCAGGGACACCCTCCACTACACCAGGTTGCCCAAAGCCTCATCCAACCTGGCCTTGAACACTTCCAGGGACGGGGCAGCCACAGCTTCTCTTGCTGACAGAGCCATTAAATGGAACAGCCTTGGTTCTCCTCTGCAAGTAGCATATGCAAATCTTTTTTAGGTAACTCCCTTTCCACTTTTTTCTTTCAAGTAGTCTGATTGCTAAAAGAAAAGATGCTGAGATAAAGCACAGTAAGGCATAAGACACGCATCCCTGAGTAAGTGCATGTAGCACTGATAAGGTGAGCATGGGTATATGACTAGGCACGTGTGGAGTCCCCAGATGCAGACAATCTAAGGAAAGAACCTCAGAATTTCAGAAGCTTTCCTTTTCTTTCAGAGTAGACATTCAAGTACAACAAGAATTCATTTTTAGAAACAGATCTTAGTAACCAGAAGCATCCTAGATGCTGCAGAAAGGAAGACTGGTCAGCTGGCACAGGTTCTGAAGGTAACACGCGTTTTGCCAGGCCAGCTCAGAACAAGCACCAAACCCCTGGTAAGCAGAAAGAATGGAGAAGGCAGAGAAGCAAAAAGACATTTCAGCATGACAAACACTTTCACCATCCCAACAAACTGACTTATTCTACAGCCTTACAGCTGGAGTTTTAAGATTATTATCAGAGAGTATTGCTCAGGGAACCAAATTGCGTTTGGAGACCCTCTGTATAAGCATCACATGAAAAAACAGCAACAATTTGCAATATCAGGTTCAATCTCGTTTTGTTTCATTAAGACAGACAACAATACAGTGGTATCGTAGTGGTATTATACGGTTCTATTTTCCTTTACTGTTTCCAATGGAGCATAGTCTTTCTAGAAGTGAAAGACCAGTAGCAGTGGTACAATCTAAACACTTATTCTTCACAATCCTAACTGGAAGCCACACAAGATGCAGCTGAGGCCTTCCAAGGTAACATTTCCTCCTTTTTTTCCCCTCGAAGAATCAAGGTTCTAACTTCTTGGGTCTTACAATAAACAGTTTTAGGTGTAAATATTAAGTGCAATGCTGTCTCTTGCAGCTTAAAGAACGTGACACAGCTGTGCATCCGTGAAAGTGCTGTACTCCCGTTCCAGGAGGCCACTTGCAGTTCATACTATGTTTGCTGGTTACCTCTGGAAATCACAGGATCCTATGGGCAGAGAATGGATGGAGAGCAGCCCTGAGGAGAAGGACTTGGGGGTGCTGGTTGATGAGAAGCTCACCTTGAGCTGGCACCGTGTGCTGGCAGCCCAGAAAGCCAACTGTGTCCTGGGCTACTCTTCAGGCATCTCCTATCTTCGCCATCATCCTTAACAGCCCAAAGATTTAGCTTCTTGTAACGGAGGCTATTTGCCTTATAAGTAGGTTTTCGTTACAGAAAGCACCCACATTCTTAGGATTCTTTTGTGTGATGGTAACCTGGAAGTCATCTCTGTTGTTTGTTACTTAGAACACAAATTAAAAGCTTCTGATTTTCACAGCTTCTTATTCTAACTTTAAGAAGCTATTCTCAATTTTCTTGCAACTCAGGATTTATGATGACTGAACATTCTCAGCTGAGCACTCTCAGTTATGAAGTCCCAGTGAAGATCAAATAGAAACTAAATCCAGGCCCAAATATTTACCTTGTGGTCAATGGCTCTATGCCCATGCGGAGGCCAGTAACGAGTGGTGTTCGTCAGGGGTCAGTACTGGGGCCAGTGCCGTTTAACATCTTTGTCGGCAACGTGGACAGTGGGATCGAGTGCACCCTCAGCACGTTTGCTGATGACATCAGCTGTGTGGTGTGGTGGACCCACCGGGGGGAAGGGATGGCATCCAGAGGGACCTGGACAGGCTGGAGGTGTGGGCCTGTAAAGAACCTAATAAAGTTCAACAAGGCCAAGTGCAAGGTCCTGCACGTGGGTCAGGGCAATCCCAAGCACCAGTGCAGGCTGGGCAGAGAATGGATGGAGAGCAGCCCTGAGGAGAAGGGCTTGGGGGTGTTGGTTGAGGAGAAGCTCAATACGAGCTGGGCATGTGCGCTGGCAGCCCAGAAAGACAACCGTGTCCTGGGCTGCATCAAAAGAAATGTGTCCAGCAGGGCGAGGGAGGGGATTCTGCCCCTCTGCTCTGCTCTCGGGAGACCCCCCTGCAGTGCTGCGTTCAGCTCTGGGGTCCTCAACATCAGAAGGACATGGAGCTGTTGGAGCGGGTCCAGAGGAGGCCACAGAGACGATCCAAGGGCTGGAGCACCTCTGCTCTGGAGACAGGCTGGGAGAGTTGGGGCTGTTCAGCCTGGAGAAGAGAAGGCTCCGGGGTGATCT